TCTGTGTCTATGTGAGTGTGTGTTAGTGCGTGTCTGTGTGTTAGTGTCTGTGTGAGTGTATATCTGTGTGTCTGGGTCTATGTGAGTGTGTGTTTGTGTGTGTCTGTGTGAGTGTGTGTGTGGGGAAGTGAACGACCCACAGGGTCGGGTCTCTATTTTCCCGCGTGGATTCTGGGCTCTGACTCAGGCCCTGGAGCTCGTGGTAAGAATCTGTCCGCTGGACCGCGTGACCAGCTTTGCCATCTCTGCCTGTGAGGCAGGGCGGTTCTTTGTGTGTGGGCTTAGTCTAGGCTGGCCTCAGACGTAGGGACCCTCCTGCTTCAGTCGTGTGTGGTGAGTGTGTGGGTGTGTATGTCCATGTGGCTCCTCCCACCCCCTGCATCCTTCCCCACCCCCATCCTCCCCTTTCATCCTCCACTCCCCCCTCCACCGCATCCTCCTGTCTTTGGGCTGCAGGCTCCAAGTCTGCCAGGGGTTCGAACCCTGGTCCTCATGCTAGGCCTCTGCTCCTGCCTTCCCCGCTCCTCGCTGGGGACAGGCTGAAGGTCGTCACTGTCCTTCACTCACATCCTCCTCCTAGTCAGGGCCTGCTTCCTCTGCTTTCACCAGTGTTTGTGCCCAGTGGCTGTCCTTTGGGCAGGGAGAGGCCTAGAGGGACAGGCTGGGCTGCCATGGGGTTGGGGAGGACAGAGACACAGAGAGAGACAGAGATACAGAGAGACAGAGAGAGAGAGAGACAGAGAGACAGAGACTGAGAGAGACAGAGACACAGAGAGACAGAGAGATAGAGACACAGAGAGAGAGCGACAGAGAGAGATAGAGAGATAGAGACAGAGACACTGACAGAGAGAGAGACAGAAAGACAGAGACAGACACACAGAGAGAGACAGAGCGAGAGCGAGAACCCACTTTCGTTAAGGTTCAGTCCTAGACAGTGTGCGGTTGTGTCCTTGAGCCCGGGCCTCGGGGTGGGTGTGTGGGGAGGGCCGCTGGCTCCTGTCCCCTGGACTGCCCCCCCAGGGCCCTCTGCCCCCTCCTGTCCTCCCTCTCCTCAGGAGGCTGCTCCCCCTTCCCCCGGACGATGTGCAGGGACCCCCACTGCACTAGAGCCAGGGGCGGAGCCTGGGAAGCAGAGGACAGGAGGGACGAGCCAGGCACCTCCATCTGTGTCAAAGGAAGCGAGAGCCGGCGCTCAGCTCGTCAGGCGCCTGCCACACAGGAGTAAGGACCGCGGTCAGTCCCCAGCTCCCGTGAAAGCCAGGCGGGGCAGCGTGTGCCTGTGACCTGACGCCATGAACGGCAAGCCGTGTGGCCAAGCACATTGGCCAGCGAGGCTGAAAAAACAGCCAGTTCAAGGTTCAGCCAGAAACCCCCGGTCAGTGGCTGAGGCAGACGGTGAGGGCATCTGTGGCCTCCTTTGGCTGCTGAAACACACACACACACACACACACACACACACGAACACACACACGATCACATGCACACGCATAGACATACACACATGCATGAACACACTCTTACACATACATATGTAAACACACATGCACACGTACACACATGTACACCAGACATATACACACGTGCACACACACATACACACATGTACACACACAAGCACACACAGCTATTGTGAAGAGGGGAAGATGGAGGAGGGAGGCTGGAGGAGCTGACTGGCGGTGAAGGTCAGGAACTCCTGCTGATGGAGGCAACGGAGCTGAGGGACAGCAGGGACCCCGAAGTCTTCTCCCGGGCTGGGACCCCGTCGGCGCTCCCCACTCAGCCACTAGTGGGGGGGGGGCGCAGAGACCTGCAGGAGGGTAGACGGACAGCCCAAAGCGATGCTCCCGCTGCGGGCATCTTCCACAGGTCCCGAGCACACGGGCGTGCTGGGGTCATGGTGGATGGAGCAGGCCAAGCAGGGCCCGTCAGCCATGCCAAGATAGAACACCCAGCCATGCCGGGACACAGGGCCCAGCCATGCCCGGACGGGACAGGGGACATGGGGCCCAGCCATGGACACAGGGCTCAGCCGTGGACACGGGGCCCAGCCATGCCGGGATGGGGCCTGGGCTGTGCTCGGCAGCCGGGACACAGGGCCCAGCCGTGGACATGGGGCCCAGTCATGCCAGGATGAGGCCTGGGCTGTGCTCAGCAGCCGGGACACAGGGTTGGGGCTCTCTGCGTCCAGCGGCCCATCCCTGTCTTCCCTCTCCTCCGCCCCCAGGTCTGAGGCACCATGGAGAAAGGAAAGGGAGGTTCCAGAAGAGGCCGGAAGCTGGCGTCCAGCCGCCGGAGGCAGGCACGGGAGCCGGCTGATGGCCACGATGCCCCCAAGGCCCTGGGGCCCGAGTCCTGGCCCCCTGGCTTTGATGCGGAGCTGCAGGCCTTCTTCCGGGACTGTGGCGCCTCGGAGAGGGGCTTTGTCACCCGAGAGGACCTGGCGGTGAGTATGAGGCCCGGGAGCCAGGCCTCGAATCCCTTCTGTGTACAATCTTGCATCGTCCTTGTTCGACCGAGGCTCAGCCTGCCTATTTCCCGGGGCTAACATGGTACCCTTCCTGGAGACATTTGCATTTTACCTCAGGAGAGGACTTCAGGCCTCCAGCTAGCTCGCAGACGTGCCTTGCGAGTGTGCTTAGGGTGTTACTGTTATTTTTGTTGTTACTATTATTGTTGAGGCAGGGTCTCGCCACACAGCCCTGGGTGTCTTCGAATTCACTGTACAGACCAGGCTGGCCTTGAACTCCAGGATCTGCCAGCCTCTTCCTCCCAAGTGCTGGGGCTAAAGGCGTGCGCTACGATGCTTGGATAGTTCTGTTATTTTTAATAGTGTCACACAATTGCACACGCCTTTAATCCCAGCACTCGGCCTGGGGGGGGGGGGCGCAGGGGCAGGTGTTAAAGTTACTTTTACACAATTGTGTTTGTTTCTCCCTTTCTCTCTCTTAACCCGGCTGTCACACAAATACTCGAGACTCCGCTATCATTTTAACAAGCTTCACAGCACAAGAACTGAGCAGTTTACGACTCTTCTTCCCCCTCTATGCTGTCTCGGCTTCCTCCCGGCGTGTGTCCCAGAGACGCTTCGCACTTTGCAGCTCCAGTTCCTCTTCCTGATCTCACCTCTCCCGAGTCCCCTACTTCCTCCTCCACCTCCGCCTCCCCGGCCGGCAGGAAGTTCCTCCCTCTTCTCTCCCCTGCTCAGCGATTGGCTGTGAGCTGCTTTATTGGTACATCAGGGGGCAAATGGGGAGCGTCATTTACACGCCACTGAGACAGGAGAGTCTCAGAGCAAGGATTGCCACCAGACAAGGGGGAGATGCAGGGAATCGAACTCAGGTCTTTGGCCAGAAGAGTGTGGGCTCAACTGCTGGGCCGTCTTCCCAGCCCCTGCGGGAGAGATGTTTGTGACAGGTCTCTCTGTGTAGCTCAGGCTGGCCCCTAACTCAGTCCTCCCAGGCCTAGGGTGACAGGCGGGCTTCACCCCCCCCCCCAATCAGGGGTGCTTGGAACAGAGGCGCGCACCTGGGGGAGCGGCCGGAGCTGTGGGTCCCAGGGAGAGGCCTGCGGCCTGTGGCCGGGGTGCTCTCTCACGGGGTCGCTGTCACCTCTGCCGCGGCTCACAACATCTCGTCCTTCCCCTACCAAAAGCCTCG